TGTGTCCCAAGGAGTCTGTGCAGCTGCCGGCTGACTGCATTGACTTACCCTGTGTCTCTCCTCTTCTCCCGGCCAAAGATCTGCACTGCGCATGCGCCCACTCCATGATCCTTCGCGGCCAACCGAGAATCTTCAGCTCTTCAGAAGAGAGCGCGCAGAAAAGACGCAGGTAAGTTTAAACCGTTTTTGGTCATTTTTTTATTTTGTTTTAAAGTTATTGCATATATCTAATGCTTGATAACATTAGATATATGCAAAAAAACGGAAGGTTTAAATGCCTTTGAACTCTTTTTGATATTGGCTATTGGACAGAAAGTGAAGGCAAATCTCCCCAATGGGACACAGATAGCAAAAAAAACTTGACAAGGGTTATAACCTCGGGTTAAAGAGTTATTAAACCCTCACTTTTTTGCATATATCTACTGCTGGCAAGCAGTAGATATATGCAAAACCTTTTTTTTTTTAAAACAAAAAACCTATTGAAACAGGTTTAAACTTACCCGTGTCTTCACCTGAAGAGTCTCGGGCGGCCACAAAAGATCTTGAGGCGGGCGCATGCGCAGTTCAGATGTTCAGCAGGGAGACGTGGAAAGAAACAAGGTAAGTCTATGGAGCAGCGTGCACACGCACAGACACCGTGGGACATCAGAGAAGAGGAGGACAGAGGAATCAGCGCTGGATCGGAGACCCACACCAGCGCTGGAGGGACAGCTGAAAAGGACAGTAAAGAAGATGATCGAATAGAGAGGCATGATTTAAGGTAAGTCCCTACAGCATGATTGGGAAGGGGAAAACAAATATCCTTTAATGTCACTTTAAGTGCTCGTTTTTGTATAGGTGCTAAAAAACATTTTTTACTCACCAGACCAGCTGAGCCGGCTTGCAATTAGTGTAGACCGCTGTCTTAAGCTGGCCATACACTTTACAACCACCGCACGACTTTCGTCTTGCGATGGTTGTAAGGTAATTAAAAGCTTGTACGATCTGCCCATCTTGGACAGGCAGATCGTACTCGCGATCATCGCAAGCCCGCCCCCCTGAGGGGAGGGCTTCCGATGACTGCAATGCTGAGCGGACAGTGTGCACTTGTGCACACCGGCCCGTGTGGCATTTGTCTTACGAGCACGCCACAAACCTGCCGAAAATCGTGCGATTTTCGGCTGGTTTTCCAACGTAAAACAAAAGAGGTGCGACCGTACAGTAGAAACAGTCGCCCGCCTTCCATACACCTGCCGATTATCGTACGATTGCGGGATTTCCCACGATTATCGCATGATAATCGGCAGGTGTATGGCCACCTTTAAGCGTTTCTCCCCCTCTGCTGCAGCGGCCTAATGATCCTGGTGTCATCACACTCTATACACTGTGCATAGACTGTGTATAGACAAAAGGACGCCTAGGAGCATTCCATCTGTGCAGCGGAGGAGTAGATGCGCTTCAGTGATCACAGAAGCAGAGAGCCGGCCTCCATGGTCTGCTGAGTATAGCTTTTTTTTTAGCACCTAGACAAAAACGAGCACGTAACCCTTGCAATGCACGGGTAGCCCCCACTGCAAGGGGTTAATAAAGTTTTTAACTGGAGTTCTTCTTTAAGATCGTCGCTTGTGGTTATTGGACTGTTTTTGGCCACCCATTGCAGCTAACCACCACTGTTCTAAATCAGGACTGGACATATCCCTGGAGCCACGTCACCAATGCTCCTTAAAATTATAGTTGGCACCTATTGGGGTTTTCTCTAGTTGCTGTCAATGGAGCTGGCTTCTAAAGAAAAAATCCTGCTGGCTCCTGGATTGAACAGACTGGCTCATGACTTCCATATGAATTGTCCACGCCTGATCTAAAGTATATACGTTCACTTTCATTACCAGACGTTTGTCAGTCTAGAAAAAAAGAAATGTTGTTTTGTATACGTGTTTCCAATCTGAAATACATTTATGGTAAACAGTAAACAAAGTTTATATGACAGCAGCCTCTGAATCCTGAACAGGTTTACTCTTATCAGATGTGATGTCACCTATTGTCCCCTTTACAGAGTCTACAAGACAGCTCTGATCACTATGGAGAGGTCTCAGCTACACGCAAACACCACAAATAGAACCGTCCACCACGGAAATGTCAAGGGGACATTTGTGAGTTTTCAGGCAGTGTTAGGAACAAAACACAGCGGCACATAACAACAAAGCAGATTACAGTTTACTGCAAACAGATCTGTTAAAGGTGAAATAGTTCCTGTAAGTCCCTGCACTCTCCATGTAATCACCCCCAGGATTCCTAGACCCGGCTTTCTCAGCCAGGCCTCCTCCAGAGATCACTAGGGGATCCTTGGGCAATGACAAATTTATCTCCTCCATACAATGGCCGCCAATGTAAAGGGGGTGGTTTTCCACTGAGTGTACGAGGACACTTCTACATTGATCACTAGTGCAAGGCTATATAATATAAAGGGGCATTTCTCCACTGACCACCAATGTAAGGGAATGTAAGAGAACGTTGCTCCACTGACCACCGATGTAAGGGAACGTTGCTCCACTGACCACCAATGTAAGGGAATGTAAGAGAACGTTGCTCCACTGACCACCGATGTAAGGGAACGTTGCTCCACTGACCACCAATGTAAGGGAATGTAAGGGAGCATTTCTCCACTGCCCACCAATATAAGGGAACATTTCTCCAATGACCACCAATGTAAGGGAATGTAAGGGAACATTTCTCCACTCACCATTGTGTAAGGCAGCATTTCTCCACTGACCACCAATGTAAAGGAACATTTCTTCACTCACCATTATGTAAGGGAACATTTCTCTACTGACCACCAATGTAAGGCAGCATTTCTCCACTGACCAAGGGAATGTAAGGGAACGTTTCTCCACTGACCACCAATGTAAGGGAACGTTTCTCTACTGACCACCAATGTAAGGGAACATTTCTCCACTCACCATTATGTAAGGGAACATTTCTCCACTAACCACCAATGTAAGGGAATATAAGGGAGAGTTTCTCCACTGACCACCAATGTAAGGGAGCATTTCTCCACTGATCACCAATGTAAGTGGGAATTTCTTCACTGACCACCGATTTAAGGGAACATTTCTTCACTAACCACCAATGTAAGGGAGCATTTCTCCACTGTCCCACAATATAAGGGGCTTTTCTCCACTGACCACCAATGTGAGGGGGCTTTTCTCCACTGACCACCAATGTGAGGGGGCTTTTCTCCACTGACCACCAATGTAAGGGGGCATTTCTTCACTGACCGCTGATGTAAGGGGCACATTTCCCACTGAGAACTAGTGTAAGAGGACAGATTTTACAGTCAGTGTTTCCTTCGGCCAGTTATTGCGATTACTGTAAGGGTTGTCCCGTGATGGACTACAATCTCATGTTTAGTTTACTAATTTGTATTGAGATTGTCGTCCATCACGGAAGCGAGCTTGGAGTGGTGGCTAAATTTACAACACACACAGGGACCATGGGGAACAAAAGTAGCCACCCTCCAGAAGGAAGGACAGTGTCAGGACCAATTCAGAGATGATTTGAGGATCTACAGCCAAGTGATACACAAATATGATACAGTATTGTTAATAGGGTACGTGAATGAATTTGTAAAGATTTAAGTCCCCGTTCACACCGCCGGCGTTTGTAGCTCGTATTTGTCAGCACGGAAAAGCTTTGCACAAGCCTGTAAGTATGCGCCTCTTTTTGGAGAGATCAGCGCAATGTGACCCTTTTTCCTATTCCTAATCATGCTGATCTGCCAAAAAAATAAGCTCATGTACTTTTTCCCGTGACCGGCTTTTTTCTCAGCACGATGCTAAGCTGACACATGAACAGGAACTATAGAAATCAATAGGATTTCTTGTGCAGAGCTTTTCCGTGCTGACAAATACGAGCTACAAACACCCCGGTGTGAACGGGGACTTACTCTTGAGTTTAGTGTTATTTTTAAGGAAAGATTAAGGAAATATGTACCGGCCAATGTTCAGGCTGTACAAGCTAAAGTGTCCCACAAGTCTTAATAAGAAGTTAATGAAATAGACCCCCTCCCCACCTCAATTATACTACACACAACAGCAATGATCAAAAACTGACCCACTCGGGAGCTGTCGCAACTGTAATAGAGAAAGCCATGGGCTCCTTTTGTGTTTGAGGAACCATGTTATTGATGGGCACCTCCTACATAGGATATATCATATTGTACGTAGTTAATATCCACATATACAATACACTGATTATGTACATTGAAAACACTGCTTCTTGTGATGACAAGTCTGCTAGAACTGAATCATACAATACTTTGGCCTGTATCTACTATCATGAAATACAGAAAACAATGACATGCACCAATCCATACTAATCATTAATAGTTCAGTAGTACAGCTGGATTTATGGAATCTGATGTATCATTGGTGGTAATGGGTTACTGCATGGTAGTTCAGCTCTTCTTTAAATGTTACTAAATAAAGCCATTATAAGGAAAGGACATATTGCTAACAAAAACCCAGCATTCAACACAGGAGGCACACCATCAATGTGGAGGAATAGCACAGCATGCATCAAGACTTCAGAATTCTGCTACCTATCCCTATTACCGCTGACACTGAAAACCTCTGCCACCTATGAACCAAGTGACAGCTGCATTGTCCAGTGTATGGATCCAGTACGATCTCTGGTCATTAGACCATGCCTATGATAGAAGCACCATTCCTGCCATAGAGCTGGCTGGAAATTGCCGCTGTCCCCTGGTGGGCTCAGCCCTTCCTGTCATTGTTTGTGTCTCCAGCCCTGTGTGATCAGTGCTATGACTTGTGCTATGCTATGACAGTAATAGGTCAGTAAGTGAAGAAGTGATGGCAGTTTCCCCCCTCCTCCCCTCCATGTACATGCCCCGGGAAGGCACCCAGGTGTGCACCGCTCCCTGCAGACAACTCATTTGTTCTGCTGCTTGGCACGATCCAACAGGCTAGAAATAATGCGATCGTCCATTGAGCATCGTCACTTACAGATCTCATCATCGCACAGCAATGCGCTCTCCATCCTCGCTCAGCTCAGCCTCATCTCGCCGTATTGGCCGTGCCAGCCCTTCCCAGGGCAGTCCGCTCCCTCCGGGGGGTGAGAGTGGAGGCAGTGCGCAGGAGCCTGCAGGAGGAGCGGAGACGAGTGGGGAGGAGAGCTAGGGAGTGGGGAGGAGAGGAGTGGGAAGGAGAGAATAAGGGAGGAGAAGGGAGGGTGCGCCCTGTGCGGTGGGTACGGGAGTCCGCTGTGTGCCCGGTGTCCCAGTGCCTGCACATGTCTGTTCATCTGTGCGGAGGGTGGAATGGAATAGAATTACCATGGTAGTCCTCTGTGTATATGGACTGTAACATTGTATACAGTATATGGCATGTTTGTCATAAAGTAATCACTTTTAGGAAGTAGGTGAAAAAAATCTGCAACCTTCGTTCACATCTGTGCATTGCAGCAACACAGGCGAAGATGCAGCGTGCCAAAACGACTGTCACTTTGTAGGGTTTCATTCAGTGGCGGACCTAAGGAACAAAAGGGCCCTGGTGCAAGATTTTTTTTTGGGGCTCCCCCCCCAAAAAAAAACAAAAACACAAACCCCCCCCAATCCACACCCCCTGAAGCAACCACCAAAAAAGCACAGCGCTCTCCTCCCACAGGCCCGGCTGTCACACTTTCTCTCCACCCTGCTCTCCACCACCAGCTATAGAGAAGTACAACAAATCCCAGCAATAGTAAATTATACATACAGTGTATAATGTATTGCTGAAATATATTTTTTTTTTAAATACTTACCTGATCCCTGGATCCACCAACAAGTGCAGCCTCCCGTCTCCCACGCTGTCACAAGCGTGCACGCACTGTGTGCAGCTTCTGAGAAGATGCGCTATTAGGGTAGCGAGGAAGCTGGCTGCACATTTTGCATAGCGCCCACTACGCTAACAGCGTATCTTCTCAGAAGCTGCACGCAGTGTGAGCAAGCTTGTGACAGCGTGGGAGACGGGAGGCTGCACTTGTTGGTGGATCCAGAACTTTACTCTGGTGGTCAGTGGGGGCTCCCTGATGGTCACTGAGGGCTCCCTGGACCCTGGTTGTGGGGGACGGGGGGTCTGCTGTGGCCGCAGCTGCAGTGGCTCCCTCCGCCGCCTCTCTGCCACATGCACCTGGCAGGGCCCCCCGACTTCATTTAGCGGGGGTCGGTGACGGACCCCCTGACGGCCACGGGAAGGGACCGTTTTTAAAAGCAGCAGAGAGGCCACCCTTCCGCCCGGCCCAATGCGCCCCTGGTGCTTGGCCCACCCAGGCTGAGGCTCCGGTGCGGCCGCACCGGTGGTAGTTCCGCCACTGGTTTCATTCACACTTGCCACTTGCATTTTCATCCTCTACATCAGCGGTTTTCAATATTTATTCAGTCACCCTTTAAAAGTATGCCAAATCTCAAGGTACCCCAGTGTAAAGCAACCTAAATGTAAAAATGCAAAAATCCAAACCTGAACCTTATCCCAGATTGGGGTCTGTTTTTTAAGGGAAGACCCCTATGCAAAAAAAAAATGGGGCTCCCCTTTACATCAGGAGCTCTCTTCACATCAGGAGCCTTCCTCTTCACATTAGGAGCCCTCTTCACATCAGGAGCCCTCTTCACATCAGGAGCGCTCTTCACATCAGGAGCCCTCTTCACATCAGGAGCCCCCTTCACATCAGGAGCCCTCTTCACATCAGGAGCCTTCTTCACATCAGGAGCACTCTTCACATCAGAAGCCCCCTTCACATCAAGAGCCCCCTTCACATCAGAAGCCCTCTTCACATCAGGAGCCCCCTTCACATCAGAAGCCCTCTTCGCCCTCTCCACATCAGAAGCCCCCTTCACATTAGAAGTAGGGCTGCAGCTAATTATTATTTTAATAATCGATTCGTTGCCCGATTATTTTTTCAACTAATCGATTGGTTGTATAAAATAATCTCTCTCTCTGTCTGTCTCTCTCTCTCTGTCTGTCTCTCTCGCCCCTTCCCCAGCCAACAAATCAATGATGAGAATAGTTGCCAACTATTATCGATTTAGTCGATTAGTTGTTGCAGCCCTAATCAGAAGCCCCCTTCACCACAGGAGCCCTCTTCACATCAGAAGCCCTCCTTCACATCAGAAGCCCTCTTCACATCAGGAGCCCCCTTCACATCAGGAGCCCTCTTCACATAAGGAGCCCTCTTCACATCAGAAGCCCCCTTCACATCAGGAGCCCTCTTCACATCAGAAACCCCCCTTTACATCATAGTAACATAGTAGATAAGGTTGAATAAAGATTCAGGTCCATCGAGTTCAACCTATGTATATGTGTCAGGATATACTTGGCTGTAGTAAGCAAAGTACAAAGGGTACACTCCAATCAGGTCTGCGCATAGGAGTGCGGTCCACTGCGAGCAGTGCGGCGCCCTGCGGTGGGATCCAGTGCACTGAGATAAAATGCAGCATGTTTGAATGTTATCGCAGCAGCCAGCCCATTATACCTGCATTGTGGTGTGAATGAGACACATAGAAAACAATTGTTTTATTTGTGTCCTAGCGATAACCTGCGTTGATCTGGTGCAGGATAGCATTGGTTACCACACTATGTGTCAGCGGGCCCAGACACATGCTGTACATACACTCACATACATACATACATACACAAACTCAGATACATACACACAAACACACATGCACACATTTAGATACATATACATACACATACATACATACACACAGTTCATACATAATCACACATTTTGATACATACATACACATTCAGATACCTATATATACACACACAGATACATGCATACATATACAGAGATACAGACATACTGTACATACATACATACATACACACAGATACATACATGCATACACACAGTTACATACTTACGTACATACACACAAATGCATACATACACAGTCACATATGCATATATATATATATATATAT